TTCATATCCGATCGAGGTCGTTGAAAACTACTTGATCTAATATCTGGTCTAAATGAATCGATAATATGTCGCTGTGCAGGCGTTTGATCGTACAAACAAAATGTGACTTTATAGTTGAACGGAAATTTGAGAATTGGATCGTTTACACTTCGCATAAGCACAAAAAAGAGTGACATATGTGTACGACGAGCATTTCCATCACCATTTAAATAAAGACGAGCTCTCATTTTATAGCCAATTGGAGATGAATAAAATGGAGGTGAATAAATAGATGTTTGTCTTTCAGACTGGGCATCAACTAGAAATTAAGCAAAAAATAATTTTATGAACAAGAACAGAAGGAAATGTAAAGAAACTTAAAGGATCGACATCATTTACAGTTTATTTCGTCAATGCATCAATAGATTATAGTCATATATTGTATTCAAGAGTAATTATATGATTATTACGTTCAATATGATATTCGATCACATATGAGACGATTGCAAATCATTTGTGCTGTTAGAATAAAAAAAAACTAAGGTTGTATCACGTAGAATTCTCAATCGAATTCAACAATTTTTCAGAAAATATCCTTCATAGGCGTGACTAGTTTGGCTGGTAAAATCGGCCTTCTAGCTATTATTTATCGTTCGAAGACATGAAAATATTGTTGTTTTTCCACTTGAATTTCACATGGACATGTCCAACAGCAATACATTAAGCTGATGTACTCATGGTCGCAGATTTGGTGAAAAATGTCCGTTATGCTGTAAAATGTCTTTTTCCGAATGAAAACGTCAATGAACTCTCACTGAATTATAGCTAAAAGATAGACCCAAAGGAACTGCGGGTTTTTTGGTAGTAAAATCGTTTTTTTTCGACCAAAACAAAAAGAAATCTAGATGTATCTTATATCAATCGAAAATTGCTTGAAAGGCTCATCTAACTAGACGTGTAAAATCCTTTACGAGCGGCAAAGGTAAGTTTACTTAGGTTAAAGTAAGCTGTAATACGTCCTTCATGCATGAACATAAGATATTCTTTGAAAAATAGACTTAATAAAAGATTAACATATTATATAATCATTGATAAACTATTCAAAACCTTGTTTACATACCTTACGGATTCTAATGAATCGGATATTGTTTAAAGCAGTGAAATATAGCTTCCAGATGTGCAATTCATATCAAAGTATTAAAGTACACGATTCAGCCTGAATAATTCAGCTTTTAAAAAAAATTAAATTTTTAAAATTCAAAACTCTGCTATAAAGATCGCCCTAAAAGTAAATACTTGTTAAAATGGAATAGCTTATGATTCCGCTTAGATCCATCCTCGATCCGTTTCTCTAAAATAAACTGTTCACAGTTCCTTTAGCACATTTACAATGATTCGATAATTCTCAAACATAAGTTTAAATTACCAATTTTTCGTAATTTCAGCTATTCTTAATAATAGTAGTCAGACTACTACAGATCTCCTTCATCCCTCTAGTAGCACTATCTACCTCAATACACGAAAGCGTTCTACTGATAAATGAAATTTTTAAGAAAAGTTGAAGTCAAATAATACAAATGGCTTGCAATCATCTCATATGTATTATTTGTCGATGTTATAGAAACCAAATAACATCTTATTGTTTTATTGCTTTTATGATTGAGTGTAAGAGTAATTGTTCAACTTACTTATTTTCTCTTGAAAGTTTGTAATTTTCCATACCAAAATTCCATCATATGAAACATATAGCAAATCAATGATTTTTTCGTGCACTGATGCTAAATCTTGATTGAGAATGTCTTGATTATGTTTCACTCCTTCCAGAAAAGCATTTGATTCTTCAATGGATAACTTAAGTTTTGGTAATTCTTGTGTCAATGTTGGAATTGCTACTTGAATTCGAAGTGATTCATTGCTTAGACGCTGTTGATCATTGTTCAATGTTTCAATACCACCTGACAAGATGTTGAGCATTTCATAAAGCCCCTGTAATTGCGCTGTGCCTGGATTACTAGTTTCTGCAGTTGTTATTCGAGAAAGATCATTATCTATTTGCCTATGGCTTAATTGCAATAACATTTGACGAACAACTTTCATTATGGCATGTTGATGCTGTTCAGTTAAATAATGATCTTCTATTTTGGCACGAATAATCTTAAGAAGAAAAATTTTCAAACTTTATTTTTATCTAGAGAATATCCATACTTGCTCATTACAACCAAAGTCTTTCAATATACAATTGACAATCAGTTTCTGACATTCGGAGACTTTATGTTCAATGTATTCGTTAACTGAGTTGAATTCTTTGCCACAATATTCGCATTTCAGGTTTGAATGATGTTCATCTAGATGTTCCTTTGAAAGAAAAAGATAGAATATTCATCAATAAAATTAAAATAAAATAAATTACCTGATAATTATTTAAGACACCAGTCCATTGACAAAAAGAACAATCAATAAGTAGTGATTTCATATCATTTTTGAAGCCTCGGTCAAGCAGAATCTACAGAAATCAGATATTTTTTCTCTTTATTTATGAAGAGATAATTACCTCGGTTCGTGATGATTCAGATTGGCATAGTGGACATTTAATTGTTATTCTTGAAAAAGAATAATGAAGAATAATACTACAAATTGATAATAAAGCTTACTCATGTTGAGCATCGAAACACGATTGACACTGTCGGTGGCCACATTCGCTTAATTGTACAGGATCCCGTAGTATCAATGAGCACACAGGACAAATATACTTTGTATCAAGAATATGTTTATTTTTTGCATCAAAGCCTACTGTTGTTTTAACCTGACTAATATGAAACAATTATTTTATGCTATTTAGATGTATAATGAATTGCTTCTTACTAGCGTGTGGGATGTGATTGTAGATGTGAGCGTTGATCATCTCTTAAACAACACCCATACCCACACCTACACTCACATTCCGCACCCTCTTATAGTGATCGAATGATTTTCTAATCACGTCCAGTATAATTATATATATAGATGTTTTCCAACAAATTCATCACCGGTAGTGGAGAAAAGTTCTTTAGAACTCGACAGCAGGAGTGGATGAATCACTTTGAATTTCGGCCCTTCGATGCTGTCGACGAGAAAACTTTTTGGAGCACATGAGTCAATTTTTCGAATAGTCACAATCTGAAGCAAAATAGCTAAGCAATGTCCTGCTCTTAGGTGAGTTTCAGTCAAATATTTAAGTTGCTGCCACAGGTCCAAAGTGACAGCTAACATGTCTAGTTATATTTTCTAGAAGAAAAGAAATATCACATACATATCTCCAACTATCAAATGCAGCTTTTTATAGACACTCTTTTGATATCAGCTCCAGAAAACTATTATTTGTCGATAAATGTAAAACCAACGGCTCTAGTTAAAATTTGGGTGTGAGTGCGGCTGTGAACTGTGAATATGGGTATGGGTGGGTAGGTTGGGCGTAGGTGTGGGAGTTGGTATTTGGTTCATCAACCCACACCCACGCCCACACCTTAGTTTCGTAAAAAGCTTCTTTTCTCATAATCAAACAAAACCTCAGCTATTATATACCATTCGATAGAGAATTCCACGGGCTACAAAATGGTATATAAAACATTAAGAAACAACAAGGCTAAGTCACCTATTGCAAAGATACTTAAACGGAAATCGGTTCTGTGTTGGTCCACGCTCTTATTGATCGAAGATTAAAGCGCCGTCTTCCGATTACAGAAATGATACTTCGAGGTTTTCTGTGGTGGAGAACTTGAATATGAGCCCCATTTGCCTCGAAATCCTATTGGTTTGGCAGTAACCAATAGAGATCAAGTTTAAGAGAAACGGCTTACTAGAATAATTTTAATGTCTATACATGCTATGATGACTCATCTGTCTAGTTCACTTTTTGAAGTACACATAACACTCGAATTTAAATCCGATGTTTCCACATTCATTAACCCTACCTACACAATACTTACTCTATCTTATTCACCGTATATTGGAAATGATCATTGACAAGATCAAGATTTTTTTCAAACTCTATTTGTAGTAGCGCATTGTTACCATTGATCTGCTCAACAGCTTTTGCTAGATGTGTTTGCGCTTCATTATAAACGCTAAGATGAAAATATAGGAGACCAAGATTATTGTGTACGGTGGCCAGTTCTGACGAAGAACCTTTTTCTTCCAATGCCCGTTTGTAGTATTTAATAGCATCGTCAAACTTGCCATCATTTTCAAGCACAATACTCATATTATTGTAGATTGTAACAAACAGAGATCGGTTACCAGACATATAAAGAGGGTGAGGCGATCCAACTTTATTTAATTCATTATTTGATGATTCGAAGAACGATTCAAATTTCTTCAAATTGTCAAGTGCGATCGAGTAGTCTTTTCTATTGAAGCGTATCATTCCAATTCTGTAATGTAGAGCACCACGAAGCTGATTAGAAAGAGTGCTTTCTTCGAGCATTTTCTGATAGAAACATTCAGCTTCGAGATCCTCTCCGAGTTCCAATAGAATATCACCTAACGATAATAGAGTACATCCATCACCGGTATATTTTTTCAGGAGCTCCATCAGTTGTGAATCCAACTCGTCACATGATGTCAGTTCAATAGTACACGGATCTTCATCATATTTAACAGATTCAATACGCCAAATTGTACCAATGGAAAATAAAACTTCTAATTCATTCTTCTTTGCACTGCAATTCCCAACGTAAGCATATGGTTGTCTTATTTTCTTACTAATTTGAAGTTGAAATTTAGCACGTCTATATCCTTCTGCAATTTGTTCGTCTCCGGCATATAAGCCAACCATATCGGAGTCTAGTGTTGTTGAAAGAAATCCATTCATCGAGATTAAACCGCCTTTGTTGTCGATTAATTGTTGTAGAACGCTGTCTGATAGTGGCTTTCCACAATATACTTTCGTTATTTCTGATTTTATACCATTCTGTTCTTGTTGTCTACCAAAGACATCCAACTGTCTATGTAAATCGGTTATATAAACGCGAAATTTGAATATATGTTGAAAATCTTCAGTTCGACAGACTTGGTTAACAGTCCGAGAAAGAAATGAATTTTCTGTATAGTGTTTAATAGCTTCACATGCTTTATAAGTCTTTCTTAATTTATCGATATGTTCCAATTGAGCGCTATTTTTCTTGTAAATTTTGTGACAAGATGTCCACATTTCTGCTTGCCCTTTTGGATCGTGAGACATTCGAAGGAGGATGCCCATCATTGTTAGAAAACACAAAAATCTTTGTGATTCTTTAGTCAAATGTCGAATAGGCGTATTTTGCTCGATTTTTGTGTCAAATACGCTTAAGGAGAGTGGAATTTCATTGACACGAGGCACATTTTTAGGATCGAATTCGTCATAGAACTCAGCTTCGGCAGATTTGCTTGATAGTGTAGTATCAGTGACGCCGAGTACTTCTTTGGATAATTCTTTAAACAGTGTATCTAGGTCTGTAGCCATGAAACACGTAGGGTGAGAAACTCTTCTGCGTAAGAAAAGATAAACGTTTTGGAATATATTTTTGTGTCGCTGAGTCAATTTTACCAAAGATGAGTATCGCTCTAAGTCTGAAATGATGATAAAAATTCTGACAATAGGTTGTCCAGCAATATATGAATTAAACTTTTCCATGTCAACAAAAATACGATAATAATAGAATGTTTGATTTAGGTAGAGTTTCATTCTTTTCTGTTCATCAGGGGATAGTCCATTATCATGAAACCAAATACCAATAAATGGTTGTTTCGGAGTTGGTTTC